ATTGAATAGATAATGTCTTTTCCAGAGAGGCTTGCCAAAATTAAGTCATAAACGACTGCCGCGTGGTGGCATCCGAAACCGGCTAAACCGAAGGCTCTTTGGCATCTATTATTGATGTCTGGGGCCGACTGTCTGTCCGTTGTGGCATGGATGGTTTCCAAATTTAGCATTCATGCATTACAAAACCTCCTTGAATAAGACATAGTAGTGAGACACTCTTTACTTCGATTCTGACTGGCCGTAAAGATGCAAAGCCACACGACCCTTTCGAAGTGATTGTTGTCGCGAGATAAAGAAGCACGTTTTACGTGTGTTTTTCAGCAAATATTGCAAAATGAGCTGTAACACATGTGTGTTTGTGTCATTGACTCATGGAGCAGCAGATCAGAACACCTCGCTCCAGGTCTAGACCCTGAAGTTACCCTTTAGTTAGAGTTCTTAGCAAGTCTCCCTATAGCCCCCTAACTTACAAAACTGAACTGCAAGACCGTGACCCTTCAATCCGATGCAAGCTCAGGCAGCTCCATTTGATGCGTCACTTCACTATCAGCTCTCAACAATCTAAGCTTTGCCCGCAAAATCAAAAGCAAAAATTGCAAAAAATACAGAATAAAGGCGAACATCGTTTGTCGATTTTACAGATGTCGGAGTTGGCGAGGGGATGGGGATATGGATATAGACGGGTTATGGTTATGGTTATTATTGCATCGGATTTTCGAATTTTGCAAGGCTGCTGCTGCTCGTTGCTGCTGTTTGGTGAGTTGATGCAGTTTTGTTGCCTGTTTTGTGCCTTTTTATGCTTTTGGTGTGTGATGTTTGAAACTAATTTGCGGTTACAAGCAATTGTTGCTCTCGAGGGGTTTTTGTGCGGCATCATGCCCTTTTGTTGTTCGCTGCTCCAGCCCCGGGTGCCCCCAGACTTATTGAATCCGTTTCAGGGAAGGCAGCCCCGGCTCGCAATTACTGTTCGTGGAGTGCTCGCAAAAAGTTAATTAAATCACACACAAGGCGAGGAAGAATTGCAACAGAGAATGATCTAATTTGGTCGTGGGGGCAGATGTATAGATTTATTTTTTCCAGCTTTGCGCACACCATTCAATTATGCACGCCACGATTTTCGTGCTGTCAGAGGTGGCAGAGGCGACTAAATCAGTGAGTCCCAGTGAGTTGACAATCTAAAATCCGAAAGAGCCAGACCGGAGATGCCATCTTCTGACGGTGAGCGTAAATAACTCCAAGTGCACTCCAAACACTTCAAAGCGAGCGTGGCAGCTAAGCAAAGTGGTTCAGTTTTCAAGTGTTTGCCATTGATATTACGGCCCACACAGCCCGGCCTCTGATTCCCATCGTCCACCTCCCGACTAGCAACTAGCAACTTGCAACCTGCAACTTGCAACTGGCAACCAGCAACACCATCATCCAGCAACACCATTACCAGCAACACAGGCAACTTGCAACACAAAAGTAAGTGGCTGACTGTTGAAGGAAGTAGTTGGTTTGTTTTTTTGGGAGACCTCCTTAATTTTTGGACTTTCATTTCCCAGCATCCCAGCAACAAATGATTGAAAATCTTATTAAAAACAAGCCCAAAAATCTGTTACAATTATCAGTGGGTTTCCAATTTGCATAAACCAAAGTTCAATCATAAAAAATAGCCCGACATCAATAACGGCATTTAGATTTTGGCTCGCCAGTTTTTGGCCAGTTTTTCGTGCCCCTTCGAAAACTTTCATATGCAAAGTTGGATTTCCATGAACTTCAAGACTTCAAGTCTAGATTGTTTTTGTAATCCTTATTTTATTCGACAACGTTGGCCTTTTTCCGCAATTGTCACATTCAATTGTCATTGTCATTGCTCTTTGGTTTCTGCCTCTTGTCTTCAATCCTGGCCCCACTCGAGATTTATATATGCCTGCTGCCCATTTTGGAGCACATTATGTAAATTTCGGTTTATTTAAAACGGGTTGGCAGCGGCTGCTGTTTCAGTTTTAAGTTTTTCTGTTTTCAGTTTGGTTTTTTGTTTGTTGCTTCCATCCCCAGTCAGGTTCGCAACATTTGTGCGATTCCTATCGCATTCGAGTGCTTTCGGAGCTGTCCTAGCCATGCATTTTAATTGGGAAGTGCACTGCACTCGAGCAGCTCGAGTTCCTGGCCCATTCCATAAAAGGCCTTGCCTCAGTTGGCCAAAAGAAAGGTTTCAGCCAACTGTGGAGCGTGGAGTGCTGGTCACGAAGGCGGCCTTGAAAGCGCTCTTCTTCTCTACCCATGACGTTATGCAATCGCTGAGCAATCGGGATCACGTTGAGGGGCAACTGAGTGAATGCGAGTGGGCCAAGAGACAGCGAGCCGGCTAAAACGGAGAACAACTTGGTATGGGAGCCAAAATTGCGGAAGATAAAAAGACGATCGTTGGGGGTAATGGTCGAATGTCTCTGCAAGTGCCATGATCACTTTGTTTTTTATGGGTCTCAGGAACGCAAACATCGCTCATAAAATGTTTAGCAACTCGGCAATAATCTTTAAAGGTGATAGGAAATGCACTCGTTATTCTAAACCCGTTTAGTGTTATAACCATTTCACAGAACTTGAATTGTTACTTATGTATAACTAAGTAGGTTCCAAAATATTGTGATTAAATCATTCTATCTTCAAAGATGATGAATTTCTAAGAACATTCTTTGAACATCTAGGGGAATCACAATATGAAGTCATATGGTTCCAATTTTTTTCCGATTTAGTTCGATTTAGTTTAGTAGTATTTTCTTACAAAATACTTAGGGCGCTCTTATAACTCTTTTAAAAATAAGAAAGTTTTGAAATATTTTAAAATTAATATCTTTCTCCCGTTGACACATTTGACAGATTTTAAAAAATCCTTGCTTTCTCTCCTTTCTTTTTTCTCTCCAGCTCTTTATAGTTGTTAGGTTGGCTAATATTTTTTATACATATATCTTTCCCCCATGGCAATTAAGTGAACTTAACAGTAACTTCCCCCATTACCGCCTAACGGTAGCCTGGCGCAGCATTGGCGGCGACATTGGCGGTGATGCTGCGAATATTGCAGCCTCTAGCAACAGCAATAGCAACGGCAACATCAACGATTGCTATATAGATAGGAAAAAATAGCATTGAGTAAGGTTATGCTATAGCTATGGCTATATCGATAGCTGGGCACGACGATGTGATGCGGGGATACTGCTTCAGGTACGGGCACAGCTTCAGCTCAAATCTCGAGTGCATTGAGCAATGTTATGTGAGACAAGCACCCGCATAACTAAAAGCTGCAAATGGTCAACTGGGCTGGGGGAGTGGGCTGGCAGGGGTTAGGCGGCACGGGCTGGGGCAGAGGCAGGGGGCCTCATGCGGTGGCAGTTCATTATGTAAACAAAGCAAGGAAAACAAGAAATCTGGCCACAAATCAATAAGTGAAAAAAGTGCTTTTATTTGTATTCGCATGGCCTGGCTTCCGACCAACTGACAGACTGACAAACTGACAGACCAACTGACTGACTGACCGAGTGGGGCTGCCTTACATTCGAACTCCAACTCCAGCTTCCAGTTATGAATAAACATCGCCAGAGTGTCTCAGTCCGGTCTAATGGACCGTATGGGCCTGCGTCTAGGCTAAAATTTCATGGCACTCTGATTTGCAGGAGAAATGAAAATAGTTTCTCGTTCGATATGTTTTTGTTTTGCCATTTCATTTTATTGCATTGCAATTAGCTAGTTGAAAGGAAAATTGTTGTCCCGATCCAGCCGGTTTTCCCGGCCCTGGTCTTCCCGGCCACTTTTTTGTCCGCCCAATTTTCGCCAGTGCAGATTGTGGCATTTAGAGGCGCCCAGGCGCCCAGGAGGAGATGGTCCGAAACGTGCCCTCGCCGCTCGATTCTGTGAATTATGGCAGTCAGCCAGCCGACCCTGCAATTAGCTTTTGGCGCCAAAACGATGCTTAGATTTATCTAGTTGAGCTGGAGTGGCAGGAGGATTGTGCAATCCCAGGGGGCGTATGCGTAATCCTGCCCATGGCCAATCGAAAGTTGCAAGTCGCCAGCCTAATTAGACAATTTCTCTATTACTGGAAGAGAATTCGCAAGTGCCTTTCACAAAGCCTGCGGTTCAATTACATGGCTGTAACCAATCAAAAGGGCATTGATTTTTATGAACTGGTGAGGCGAGGCGGCCGAGTGGGATGGCTCACCTGCTGTTCAAATCTTTGCATTTGCCGCGAAACGTGACCGCCGCCAAGATAGTGAGTAAAACAGTGACTTAACCATCATGATGCAAGAAGAGAAAGAAAGTGGCCACTTGCCACTAGCGGGACCTGTGCCTCATAAACGGCAATCTCCTCGTGGCGGCCGAGCCGAGCCCATGGCCAAATCAGTAAGGAAAAAAAATAAGGGACCCAGGTGCCTGGGTCAGACAAATCCGCCAATCCACTCTGACATCAAGTCACGTTAGGGCATATTGGCCAGGCCAGCAGAGATCGCGTTAGAGATCGCGCCTGGCCATCCATAATGTGCATATTGCAGACTTTTTCCATTTTTTATCGACTGCTCGCTTTTGGCTTTTGGTTTTGGCTTTTTGCTTGACACTAAATTGCCTTGAACAAGCGACTGGGCCGAGTGTTTGCCTCTAACGAAGTGTGAAAGATGCTGGTCTTTGATTCGAATTGATTGCCCAACTGCGGCATGCCACGCCAAAGAAACCACACGCTGCAAGGTTCGTTTTTGTTTTCGGCTACTGCTGCTGCTGCTGCACCGTGAAGATGTAGTTAACAACGTGACTATGTAATCAGCATCGCTTCGAACGGGCTAGGAAGTGGCTACAAGCTTTCAGTCGCTGCCGTAACTACAAAGTGCAAATGATTTTCACCCCGCTCCTGGCCACTCCTCCGACTTCTCCCACTCCTGGCCACAAATCGCCACCCATCGCTTCCACTCTTCTCGATCACTTCGCTGTGTTTCTAATCAAATTAATTTCAGCAGCCGGTCAGGCCCACGTGTCCGGTCAGCATGGCATATGGATTTGGACTCGGTTTCGTCGGTATTATGGCGTTGGCACTGCTCAGCTTGCTGCACATTGCGCATACGCAGCGTGGCCCGGTAGGGCTGACTGAGTTTTTCAACGATTTTCGGCAGAATCACGACGACCAAAGGGTGAGTCTGGAAAGTGCTAGAATATTTACTTAAATATAGCCCTATTCGACCAGCTTTACTATTCACATCAGTATCAGATATCCGATGTGGCCAGCCAAGTCCACATCCTGCACCGAGAGCAGCGCCAAGGAGAGCACGTGACCGGCTCATACTCCCACCAGGAGCCCAGCGGCCACATCCGCAGCGTTCACTACGAGGTGAGGGGACCCCGCCGGGGATTCCGAGCCGTCATCGAGCAGCGGACAGGAAACAGCCGAGTGCACCAGACCCTGGGAGGCCGCGACGGCCGGCAACCGACCCGGGCTCTGGCCCTCGCCGAGCCTGTGGCATTTGTGATTTAAGACAAGTGCCTGCGGCGGCAAACCGGCTGCGGCTGCTGGAATCAAGAAATCCACTTACGAATTATTTGTCTTGCTCCATGTAGCCGTAAATTGCTAAATGTTTAATTGTCTTTCAATGATTTCGCTGACTTGTTAAGCTGTTTTCTGATTTGCAATTTAAATCGATTTCTCACATGTTATCACAAATTTTATTAAACGTAAAATGTAAATATATATTTTGGGTAATAAATTAGACGATTCGGAATGGATCGAGTTACTTGCTGACTTTGAATCAAAAAATTTAAGTCTTTGTGATTATAATTTAGCCCATCTATAATGTCTGCAACAACTTTGGGGTGGGTCAATTTTCGAAAGAAAATGATAATACGCTGCCTAATTACGCAGCCATATCTTGCAAGCCCCTTGCAGAAACAATCCATATTTCAGCTAAAGACCAAGAATAATTGTATTTTCGTGAAATTACATTGACTTGCGGTCAGGGTCTTTAGAAATCTGCCGCTCTGTGATCAGCTTAAGTGATGCCCCAGAAGCCGTTGCCGCCGCCGTTCAACGACACTGCTAATTGCCCCAACTAATTGCCACCGCATGTTATTGTGGCTCGCTTTTTGTTTGGTCGGTTTTGTGGGCCTGCGGCTACTAAAAGTCGCTCAAGAAAGTGCCAATCAACGTGTGTTGGGGCCCGTTAGTCCGTGTGACAGCTCACCTTGCCAGCTTGCCCTTTTGACTGACCCCTAGCAATTAAAAGACAATTTAGGCGCCATCTCTGCCAAGTTTGTTGATACACTCTTCCTATTTGAACTCCATTTTGTGTCGCTTACATAATCCAATTTCGCTGTAACCTTAGCCCTTAACTTATCTAACTTTTCACCTTTTATGGTCTGAAATCAGACTTTTAGTTTGTATTAATTTTCATTAGGGCTTCTATTGTCTTTCAGCTCTCTTTCTCCGTTACGATCGCTAATTACTATTGTGTCGGTAAGCCCATTTCAAGTTCGTTTCCCAAGTCTTCTGATTTGGATCTCGGTTTCAAGTTCAAGTTCGTGGCCTGAGTCTTTTGATTTCCTCGCCTTGTTTCTCGTCAGCTTAGTGATGGGAAGCCCAAGACTTGATTCCATTTCTTATGAAACAGCCCAGTTAGCTGTAAGCTTTCTTGCTTTCAATTAACTTCAATTACCCGCTGATTACCACACGCAAGTTCGTTGCCAGAGTCTTTTGTTTTCCCAGTTTCAATTACGGTTTATCGGTTTGTTTAATTTTATTAATAGTTATTTACAACATTTTGGGCAAGTCTTAAAGTTAATTTTCGATTAAATGTTTTGTTTTTGTGTCCGATGTCGTCCCGCCCCGTCGTTCAACTGGCCTGCAACAAGTCCCGCTCCTGCAGTGCCTTCTTCTCCATCCGAAGTTGCTCCGCCAGCTGCTTCTTCTCCTTCTCCATGTGCAGCTGGTAGAGGTTCTTCAGCTTGTGGTGCTTCTTCAGGTAGGCGCTCTTCTCGTGCGCCAGCTTGTAGTTGCCGATCGTTGTTGTGGGCTGCTGTGTGCTGCTGCTCGTTGTCGTCGATGCTGTTGTTGTTGCGGCTGCCGGAGTGCTGCTGCTCGCCGATGATGGTGTCGACGTGGTGGTAGTCGAAGTGGTGCTAGTGCTGGTGCTGGAGCTGGTAGTGCTTGTGGAGGAAGCGTCAGCCCGAGCCTGCTCGTCGAGCTGCTTCTCGAGCTCCGCCTGCCACTCCAAGGCCTTCTCCTCCACCGGCAACTGCTGCAACTGCAACGAGATGATGCATGCGATTATGACATGGACATGGTCGTGGAAGTGCAACTGGATGTGAGCGGAGGTGAGCGTGGGGATCAGTGTGGCAAGATGATTGTGAAAGGAAGAGTGAGCGGGATGTTTTATGTTGTTTGTGTGGCATGTGGGTGTTTCTTTGATATGCGGCAGAAAGGCATTTTTTACAACAGTGTCAAAAGCAGTTCATTTCGCGGGGATTTGTGTATGAGGTTGGCTTTAATCTCTTGTACAATTTTCAGTTTAATTATAGATAGTTCTAAATGCATATCAGGTAGCTGTGTGGGTTTTTTCAATAGCGCACGTATCGCTTCTCGTATTGCCTTACATAGTTCCAGGGATACGCGTACTTGGCCTTCTCGTAGGCCTTGTACTTCTTCGTCTTGGCATTGTATTTGCCCTGCAGCTTGTCGGGCACCAGGATCGCCGTGTACTTGGTTCCCACTCCAGGAACATACTGGGCGGCCAGACCGGACACGGAAGTCACTCCGCCGCTGAACGGAGTTGTCGCCAGTTGTCCATAGTTGTTGTTCTTCGGCGGCTGGTTATTGTAGTTGGGTGGGGCATAGGGTCCTGCCGGGATGGCCCAAGTCCTGGGACGAGAAGGTGGCGGTAAGACATATCTAGAAATGAGAAATGCAACAGAATATAATATAACAACTAAGCTGCAAGCCACTTCAACTGACTCATCAGTGTACTTTAGTGTAGGAACAAGTATAAATAGCCTTTAGGGCTCAGCAGGTTATACCGGCTATAGTTGTATCTGAAACCAGTTTTGCAGTTTTCCACTTACACGTAGGGATTGGGGTTGGGGACGTCGTCGCTCTGGTCCTCCCAGACGGGCGCTGGTTCCCGGTACGGCTTCCGCGGGGGCTGCGGTGTGGTGCGCGGAGGTGGCGGCACTATGGGTCCCGTGTTGGTGCCCCAGTCCACCCGAATGGCCTGCGCCTGGAGGCTCCAACTGGCCACTGTGGCGACTAGCAGCAGGCAAGGGGCGAGCTGAAAGAGGTAGAATGGAAAACAGGTTCCAGGTGAGAGCGAGTGGCGGAATCTTCCGACGAAAGTGCTTTGCATTGTCGTGTTTTGCAAATTGTTACAAGCATCGGGTCTGTGAAGATATTAATTAGAACAAAGCGCCTTCAAAGGAAGCGCCTTGGAACCAGCCGCCTCCAATTTATCTCGATTGGGGGCTGGCAGTGCGAATTTGTTTGCCGCTTTTTTCGCACAGAACCTCTCGAAACTCGATTCGCCTTATCAACGCAACCCCGATTCCGATTCTGATTCGAGGATCAATTAAAAACGCTTTATTTAGTCGCATGGCAAATTGGCAGACAAACACTTCGGACTTGAACTCGATTTGTGTGTATAACTCGAATGTAATAACAATAATTACACCGAGTGCCCGCAGCCTCCTCTCCACGGCTCAAAGAAAACAATGTCAAGTGTTAAATCATTGCAGCTGTTTGTTATTTGCCGAGGAGTGGAGTAAAAAAAGCTCAAAATATTCAAAGAAATTATTTATTTTATTGTCCGCTTATTGCCTTGCACTTTGCTCAGATGTTTGGCCTATGAATCGTAATTATTTATAAATATTTATGGCGTCTGTTTGTTGGGTTAATTGAATTACCTGCTCAAATAAAACTATTTATTGTTGATTAATTACATTCAGTTCAAGTTTTTCTACATCGATTCGCTTGACACTTTTTGTCCGCTTTTGCGATTCTCAAATCGATTACAATAGAATGTGGCATTATTTATGGCAGTACGGTCTGTTATTCTTTTTGCATTGATTGTCGAGTGTTTGCCTAACTAATGAGCCTTCAGGAAGTGTGGAGCTCGCCAGCCCCGTGCGGTCCAACCGCCGCAGAAACGCACCCAAAACGCCCCGCCAACTCCGGGGCGGGGACCCAAACCTTTGGCTGCTAAAATGGCCATTACTTACGTCACGGCATAAAGTTATGGCCCGGCTGGGAGGATAGGCATCTGGCCACAAATTTGTCAGCACAAACAAAATGCCAAACATGGTATCGATAGCTTTGATGTATGAATACCATATGTTTGTTTTTTTTCAGTTCAAATTTGTTTTTCTTGAGGCATTTATTGCAACTGAATTTTTCTCATGATTTGCCAAGAATACTGGATGGATTGGGCCAGTTAAAGGAGGAATGGGTCTGAGATCTTAGTCTTTTAATGTCATGTTTGCAATTAGCCATGATCGATATGAAATTGAAAGTTTTTCCTTCAAAGCTACAACCATCATTAGGAGCAATTGAGTTGAAAACGTGTTGCACTTTCAAATTCTCGTGACAAGCTCCAACATCGATTAATGGCAGAAAACAAAAAAAAAAAAAGTGAAAAAGTGAAGAGTCAACAAAAAATTGTCATGTGCTATGCGTCGATCGTAAATGTTGGCCTTGATTTGAGCCTGATTTTTTATGATTGCACAAAGCATTGACAGTCGAACAGCAACAACTGGTATTGCTGCAATCGCCGGCTAGTAATACCAATATGCATTGTGCATAGCAAACAAATGCTTGTCAATGCAAAATTGGCAATCAATTAGCCAAATTGGGGGAACAGCCAAGCCCGCTGACAGGCTAAACGCTGGAGGTTTGGTGTTGCTGCCTCTTCGGGGCAAGTGTGGCATATAATCTGAGATGCTAGGGGGCCTGCAATTAGGTTAAGCCTCGTCCATCAAGGGTGACGTCAACGGGGTACTTCATCATAGTTGTCAAAAACAAAAATAATAGTACCATAACATACACACACCATTCAGACCGAAGATATAATGTCGAGTCTCAAATCAATGACCATTCAGCGATATCTCAACAAGTTTTGCTCCGTTTTGAAAACCTTTTAATGGCTCCAGTTTGACAAGACCTGTTATTAAGTAGCATGAGAAGCCATAAACTCGAATTTGTGTAACAATGGTCCCCCTGCTGGCTGGTGTCACTTCCGACAAACCGCCGAACCGAATAGACTTGGCCCTGAACTTGGGCCTAAACGCGAACTGAGTCTGTGTCTCGTTCTGTGCACCGAGAAAAGCATCTCAAGAAAGCCCTTAATATGTTTGTTACACGAGACTTGAATAGCCAAAGTTTTTTTTTTCGGTGTGGTACTTAGAATCCCCAAGAATTTACCGCCAGTTTAATGAACCCTTGATCTGAGAGACTCTCCTCCGGGGACTGTAATGCCTGCCATGGCACTCCTTTTTCGGCCCGATCTTGATCGCGATCTGGTAATGAGCAGCAACCGCCCGCGGGCGTACCAAAAATTCTGCTTACTAATTAAAAACAATCAATAAAACTCTGAGTAAACGCCGCACCGCTCCACACGCTCCGAATCGACATCGGCGGCATTACACCGCATTATCATTATCTTTGATTAACGCAGTTTAGTACGAAAATAATAATTTATTATCAAATGGCTAGTCGGCTGCAGTTATGTTGTTGCAGTTTTTTTTTGTTTCTGCCAAGCAAAGCCGAAATTAAGTGCTTAGACAAAATATTTTTGCGAAATATTAAGCAGCGGGTTTTTTTCATTTTTTGGGTCAAGCTTAGATTTAATTTAATGTGGCTGAGAAAAAAAAAATAAGAAAAAGAAAAGCCACCTGGGGGCGGGGGATTCGCGTCTTTAGCCAGCTGGTTAGTGGCTTGATTTTGGATTATTTCTGCCCGTTGTGGCTGCTGAGCAACTGCCCCCTCGGCTAGATCGGACAAAGATCTGGCCTTTTATGCTTTATAGTAAATCTCCTTTATTACACAACATTATCGAAAAGGCAGACCCGGACTATTCGACTCAAACAAAAACAAAAGGTGAAACAAAATTTAACGCTTGTATTTGGCGCGTTCAAATTGTAATTCGATAATAAGTGTGCCATAATCATTTTTTAAACGCCTTAATTGAAATAATTTATATTGGCTTATGGGGGTGCCTCCACACTCCCCTACCGAGAGATAGTTAGATACGCCTGGGTTCGAAAACTACGGATTGTGGGTCGTGCGGGCGGGAAAACAAAAATGCAATATAATTGTGAATATGGGGCATATGGTTTTCGGTTTTTTGGCTGCCTCGTTATGTGAATTGCATTTTTTTGCAATGCGGGCCAAAGTCGAAAACAATATTCAATAATGATGGATGGTAATTCCCTTTTCACTTCAAGACACGTAAAAAAGTAAATGATATGAGCATTTGGGAAGCGGGATCTGATTAATGACAGCTTAGAAATTGTGAAAGGTTATCCATCTTTAATTATTTTACAATGTGGGTGAAAAATTGAGTACTGTCATTCGGGTGTTATTCAAGTTTCTATCTTTCTATTAATCTTATTGACCTCAGGGGTTACCTCGGATATCAAAGCAGATGATTACTAATCAGTAATTAGATAATCCCACTAATGATTACATTAAAAATCTGTTTCAGGGGACCTTGAAACCTCTATAATTATCGATTTGAATAACAAGCTTATCCAATTTCCAGATCCAAGTTCAAACTTAGTCATAAGCAGTAAGAAATGTGCGCAAGAAGTGCTACAGAGAAGCTGGAAATACCAGAATGCAGATCAGTGGGAAACCTAATGGCTCCGTAGTTTATCACTCGGCCATCGTGGGTGCACTCTGCCAAACGCGCCAACATATGTACCAGCAATAATATCATTCATAAATCTCGACTGCCAGTTTACAATTTACATCTTAATGGTCCGAGGAGGCATCCGGCAGATCACTGAACTGGGTCCGACTACGTACAAGACTCCAGTCAGACCGACTGACCTTCGCCGTAGCCGAGAATCATAAATAAAGGGTTTAAGAATGGTCAGAGCACATATGCTGTACTCTACGAAATGACTTCATCTGCCCGAAGTCGAACAGACGAAGCGTGTCACGTAATTAGCTGCTTTATTACAGCGCGCGCTCATTTGCATATAAAGCGTTTGCCTAGCCTCCGATTTTGATACCGACTCCGATTCAGGTTCAGACCGACATGCGGTCTCGGTCTCGGTCTCGACTATAGTTTTTCCACTCCAGGCTTCGCCACTTATCCATCTTCGTCAGCCGGCACGGCACGGCAGAGGTTCAAGGCTTGGCAAATTGTCGCTGTTTCGCTGTTTCAATGCACCATCCATCCATCAATTAACGCTAAGCAGCCTTGATAAATCGCAGAACAAATAACACCTCCACCTCCACACCTCCCCAAAAACGCATTAAGGGGCTAGCGTTAAATTTGAACATGGCTCTTTGACGCCAAATCATTATTTCGTGAAGTTTGGTCTTATTTCTGATTTCTTGTCACAGCACAGACGAGGTTCCATTTCAAAGCTGGCATTTGCTTCGCCTTTCATTGCACTGCTACACAGTACAATGTATTCTGTCTACTCTGGTGTATAAAAGACCACAAAAAAAAAAGAGCTGAAAACAATGTTCGACTTGAGCTTCCTCATCAGCCTGCAGTTCACCAGCTTTGGAGCTCAATAACCTTGTGATCTAGGGGGGAGAACGTAGCCCCTTTGATCTTTCGGTAGAAGATCGGTGGAAGATGTGTCTTGAATTATGATAGTTGATTGGCAGCGATTTGTCTAGCTTTTGGATTTGGATTTGGTTTCGTTTTGGCTCTAGCCTGCCCGACTGCCTGGCACTTTATTGATCGCTTCTTGAGGATTTCCTAAGTGTTTTCAGTTTTGCAATTTAGAATGTCTAGTATCATGTTACACTTGCAGAGTGGTTGGAATTGAGGGGCCTTAGCTTTGATCGATTTTGAAAGATATTTTTGAAAGCGCCATTCAATAGAATATTCATGAGAAGTTTTCTCCAGATGCCTTTCCAAAATCTAGGACCATGAATTTGCATACTTTCCCAGACAAAATGACGATGATTATGCATTTTGATTAATTGCCACAATGTTCCCAGGCTATTCTTTAGAGGAGTTCAGCTCGAGTCAAGTCCATATCCATAACAAAAGAATAATAAACAATATCTCAGGTATTTGCCGATTTAATCGATTGCCAAAAAAATATACTTGTGAATAAAAAGCAGATATTTATAAGCAAACAAGACGTGGGAGTCAGCCAGCCAAACATATACAGTATATAAAAAAATATAAAAAATATAAAGAAATAATCAGAAAAAATTAATAAATAAGTAGACACCATGTTGATTTCAATTACTGCCCATTAATGCGCACTTCGAACAAGCTCAATGGGGTTAATGAAATTTCAAATCTTTTGGCAAAGATTGTTTTCTATACTTTTCATTATTTTGATGTTCGGCTGCGTAGATCTCCAGCTACGGCCCTGGGCTGTAGGTGGATTCTACTTACAGGCATTGTCTCGCAGTCGGAACCGTTCCGTTCCCAGGCCAACTGACGGATCAACAACGACGGATCAACTTGACCTTTTTCACTGCTGATGCTGCTGATTTCCCCCGGTCCGAATTGAACATGCAAGGGGCGTGGTCAGCATTTAATTAACGCAAAAAGTTGGCAAATTAAATGCTTGAACTGCGAGGGAATCCGACAAACAATTCACCGAGTACAGAAGCCCCAGCATCAGGCAAAGGCTTCTGAAACGTTTTAGATTTAATGTCTCAATAGTATGCAAAAGAGTTCGGGCCTAGAATTTATTAGGCAGCTGAAAACTATTTTGAAACTCTCCGAAAATGTTTAGCAAAGTGATTTGTTTTCCGACATTTGCCGGTGTCAGCCATATTTTCTAGGCTAGATCCACATCTCCATAAATATGTCCTAGGGTCTGCCGGAGGGCATAACATTTTGGCCAAACTCCGACATTTCTGGTTACCTCAGCTGGCCACTTTGGGGTTTTGTGGGGTGCCTTGATTGACTCGATCTCGATAGCAGAGGCTCATTGAATTTCTGGCATTTTGGGCGTCACAGTTTCGCAAAAAAAGGCTGAAAAAATGGGAAAAAACCATGAAACTGAAAACCTTCGAGTCGTAATAACTTGCATTTTGAGTAGGGCACTTAATGCGTCGCCGTTTGTTCGGGGCCTGATTTTTGGATTTTGTTGGCCCGGCTAACCTGGGCGCTAATCATAAATCTGCAACGCAACTGCGCAAGTCAAGACGCCTAATCATCGGTTAGAGACCGAAAAGTTAATGCCTGTCAGGCAGTTAAGTGTCTTGAACTTTTGGACAGGAATGTTGTGAAAATGTTGGAAAAATAAATAAATCGAATCGAATTGAATCCAATCAAATCAAATCGATTCCAGACATACACAATGGGCCGTAGACCACTGGTCAAGACAATGGTTTTAAGGGGGTTTGTGTATTTTTGTGTTTAGGAGGTCAATGTGCTACCGTTAGCGTTGAAAATGATTTAAAACTGATTTCGGGCCGGAGCGTGGCCAAAGCTGCATTTGATTGTTTTGTAAACAAACCGAAAGCGGTTGTTAATTTGTATAATTTGTGCTTTGTTTGGACTCTGCATAAAATCAACATTAACCCATGGATGTAATGCAGGTTACCCGTCTATGTCACCGCATTTGAATCACAATAAAAGCCGATTCAAATTGCATGCCCTGCGGAGTGTTGAAAGAAATATTAATGATACCGAGGGGGAAATTCAATTGGCGGCGATCGTGCAACATCAATTTGAATCTCCCTTTTCGAAACGTTTGAGGAAGTCGTTTAAATTAACAAAATACAATATTTTCAACTTGCATATTAATATGCTTATGCTTGTCTGCGGACTGCCATCGAAAACAAAAATAAAACATATAATCGAATACGTTAATTACTTAAATGATGTTGCACAAATATTGCTTTTTTCGTCTGCCTCTCGTATTTTGACAATTAATGACGCTGATTTCACCGAGTCTGGCCCAGAGCCTGCTTTTGTTTCCGGTGAGGCATTCCGATGGGGCTCGCCATGCCAAAAGCATCAGCACAAATAAACAAATAAAATGGCCAAGAACAATGCCTCAAGAACAAATAAGAATTGTCCAAAAGCCACCAGACATGTGAGCAATTGTGGGTCATTGCCTCCAATCCGAGTCAATTGCCAGCAGAAGTGAGACTGTGGCTTACCCTTGATGGGCAGCTGAAATTATGGGAACCATACGACACGGCGAGTATTCGATTTCATTGTCTTGTTTGAAATTCAACAAGCAACACAAAGAAATACTTTCATAAATTTCTAATATTTTAATTGACGGGTTCGATCTCCAACCAGAGTTGTTCTCACAATTTCGTTATTGATTTGTGGGCAAACTTCCCTTTAATTTTTATTACAATTAACCTCTAATAAGCTGATAACAGGTGCATGAATTGTAACAAGGGCATCCCAGATTGTTGCTTTCGCATTCCCAACTTCAGTCCAATGACACGAATGTCTCGTCAGTATTGAGAAATTTATGAAACTGCCAGGAGTGTGTGACAATTTCGTTATATTTTTTGGTGTAACCCGCGATTTAATTATTCCAAAAGTTATGTGAGACAAAAACCATATCAAAACGTGCATTAAAATACGCAACACGTGTTTGAACTCAATTGATGAACGGAAATCGAATTGGATTTTGATAAATATAATTGTTGACTTACCATATTGTGTTTGGCGTGTTCAATGGAAATCCAAAACTTCTGAGTCGTTTAACTGGAAAAATATTATTGAAAAGTTACTGTTTAGACATTACTACAATCACTTTCAGAGTTGCACTTGAATTTTATTTTGCATAAAAAATGTAGCACAGAAAGTTGTTTAGTCGTCCTCCACTTAAAATATTCATTTAGATTTGTTATTAGTTTGAGCTTGTTTTTTTTAAAAGAGACCCCTACGAAAATCACTTCCATTACGAGGCGGTGACACTCTATGGAGCTACGGAGTGATTGCCGATCCGATCTTGTCAGATGCCTGGTAATTGTAGACGACTCCGGCATATCGAGTGACGACGAGTGGGACAATATCAAATCGGATTTAAGGTAAATATCAAATGGAACGGCTCTCATTATGCAATCCCATTACTTAGTCGGACCCTACTACATAGTGAATGGTTGCTTATTTTTTGGCGGTGATTGTTATTTCGGTGCCGATGACGATGGCTTTGGCGATGGCGATGGCGATGACGATGTCAGTTTGGGCGAACGTCCATGGCAGCATTTTGGCTTGCAAATGGAAACCGAGATTCGAGATCGAGATTCGTTCCACACATGGTCGGCCTGATAACAGAGCTCGGGGGCAGGGCAGAAACCCCAAAAAAAAACTCACGATTTGTCGCGCATGCGTAAACATTGGATCCAATTTAAATGACCATTTTCTTGAAAATTTAAGGTACGAGTAATTTTCAATTGCTATTGGCTACGTTTGTATTTTATTTGGTGGGGCCTCGCAGTGTCGCAAAGTGAGCCACATGCCACGCATTTTAAGTGGCCGGCAATCGTAAATATAGCCGGGTACGAGCGAGTGTCTTTTGATGAAGGCGTGCATGCATTCTAGTATGCTCTGTGTTGGCCAAATTCAGCCTAAAAGCTACGCCAAAGAAAATGCCGGCCCATGTCATGGCTAACAGTCCGAACGTGACTATGCTGCCTCGATATTATCGCAAGAGATTTGAAGAGCAGAGGGTCGTCTCAATCTAAGCCTAGGAGGTCGGCTAATAGAATCCGAGTGGCAATAAAACAAAAACCTGTTTAAAATGTAATAAACGACCTTTGCTGGTCTGGTTACTGGATTGGTAAATTTAAGGAACCCAGATATGTGCATAAATTTTCGTCAAACTAGTCCGAGATGAGCAGTGCGTCTTTAAAAATGTATTGCGTCTTCAAACAGCCCATCCTATTTGCTAATTTTATCTCAGCCCAACAATCACACTTATACACTTATCTCGGTTATCCAAATGGGCAACACCCAGTACTTCAAGTACCTACAATTATCCGCAACACTGTGAAAACATTTCCGGCACATTAAACGCAAAAGCAACTATGTATATAGATAAACAGCGAAAATAAACTAAGATACGGCGGTATGCATAAAGGCCTTTTTAAAACTCATTTCCAAGTGTTGCATTTAAAGAGGCAATAAGCGTTAAAAATTCCCTTCCTTTTCAGGCTTTTCTTGTTTAAAAGAAAAGTCATGGGCGAAGTTTAATTTGTGATAGGCGAAAAAAAGATTTTTTCCCAGATTGCTTGTGCAGTTTTTTGTTTTTCTAGTATGTTTATGACAAATGCTTTAAAGTGTTTTGTGCGTGCAAACGTAGAAACGCCTTCAATTTTATTTATCTTTTGTGGAATTGATTTATTTATTTGCATAAATTTAACACGCCTGCGACAGCAGCTGCAGCGTTTGGGAGTTTGGGAGCCTGCAGGCTATAAATTGTCTGCATTGCAGCACGCAAGTTCGTTGCCTAAGTCTTCTGTTTCATGTTGCGCATTTGTGGGCTCCTTTCATTAGTTTTATTTTTTGTCTTTTTGTTTTTGGTTTTTACACTGTACGAGAACAATAACAACGACGGATGATTAACACACAGTTGCGAGTACGAATATATTGAGTAGTTAGCATTTTTGCATCATCAATTGGCACGGCAACGAACATACTTTGCTGTTGCTGGATCGCTGATGGACTTTTGCTGTTTGTCTGGGCGGAGGAGGAGCTTCTCTGTACTTCGGCAGAAGTATGTAGCTGTAGTTCCAACCGAGGTGTACTGTTTGCGCTAAAGCGTGACAAAACACATTGAAGACCCGGGCCACACTGAATGGAGCGACTGCGGTAGCATCAGCACAAAGTCTCCGTCTCCCGTTTCTGGCTGGCCATCAGCTGGTTTTGCGAATCGACCAGGCCAGGCCGGGGCAGACCGGGCCAAGCCGATCGTTTCCGAACCCCAAAAGCCAAAAGCCGAACGCCCAAACCCCAAGCCCGGCTCGAACTTCGTTTGTTTTCCACTTTTATTTTTCTTTGTTATTCTTTTTTCCCATCGGGTTTTCATATGTGCCTTAGCTCAGTCAGCAACATGTTGCTAGGGCCATTTCCGGCCGACAAGTTTGTTTCTTAAGTCATTTGTTTCCCATTTAAATATGGATGCCTAATAAACATATTTATTGACTTTGTTTATAATAGCTCCAGTTTGATTTATATTAATCCTAAAACTTCCGTTCAGTCGCTGAATCAATCAATCACATCTTTATCTACATAAGGTTTAAAACTAAACCAAGCTGGAAATTTAACCAAGTTAATATTTTTCAAGATTAATTACACGAAAATATTTGCTAAACAAATAAATCTCGAATGCTGAACTGGTCCCCAAATGTAGCCCGTATTTTTGCCTCGCAATTAAATAAATATTTTTCATGATTAATGAATCTGTATTGCTGTGAGTGCGTTTAACTTACAAATATTTGATAAATTAAGTAATGCTAATTTTAAACTGCTTCCAAGTTTTATTTGCTTAAGTAATAAAAACAGCATACATTTGAAGAGTTAATATTATTATTTTTAACAGATATATTAAACACCATAAATTTATATTAATAAATTATATTGGTGAAGGCTATTGCTCATTTATTGTTCTGTAAACTCTTAATTGAATTATCAATAATTGCTAATGCATCAACAATTATATAAAACAAACAATGCTTAATTGTAATTAAATTAGAACTTTCAGCTGAAAATGATTCCTGTTGTTGTCATTGCGGTGGGCATCCCTGACCTCTTTCAACAAATCAAAACTGGTGATGATAACGCACAGATAACCATATATATATATGAACATACATACATATATCTACCTATCTGAACCACAATTGAATCGAGTTACATTACACCGAGCGATTACGTGAGCGACATTGAAATCGGATATAGCGCGGACCGGCCGAGCTCTTTACGCATGAGCTGAAGGCTGACATATTTTAATTTCTTTCATTAAACACTTCAATGTCCCCCCCACATAGTCTTCAAATTACACTTCAAGAACTGAAGCGGCTATGTTTTGTTCAAAACTTTATAGTGAAGTGATGCTTTTGGCTACGACTTCAAACATTGGAAAAGCAAGCAACTTTTTTCTGAGTGCAGTCTCTGCCATGATCAAAGTTGTTGTCCCCATCAATTTGATTGGATGTCAGCCGAGTTTGATTTTATTGCCTGTAGAAGTTAATGAGTCTCTCTGGCTGGTCGAGACTTGCAGCCAGCCAACACACTCATTATCAGCCACCTTATGTTAATGCAAAATATTTGTGTTTTTTCGCATTTTTATAATTTAATTTAATTTTATGGGTTCACAGTCGGAGCCTCCAACTCATTCGTTTCCTCATTAGGATACAAAATTATGCAAAGTTATTCTTGTGGATTTTGGGTTGGATAGTGCAGGTCAATTAAATTGTAAATGCAATTAAAAAGCCATATCAATCAGCTCGCCTTTCGATTAGCATACACAAGTTTTTCCCATTATACTCATATGAGTGTGTGCCTATTTAAGTTCGAATAGTAAATCAACAGAAATGTCTGCTAAGATCACTTCGGCCTGACAAGTTGTTTTTGGCGTGGTGCAGTGCGGTAGATAGTAAGTATATGGTGGATCGGAGCGGTGGTGCTACGGTGGGCCGTGTAACAGTCTTTGGTCTGCTGGATCATTGCTGGGCAAAACAGGTCTTTCAAAAGATTATTATCGCTTTTATGGTGTTTTTATCGTTTTTACAGCATTTTTTATGTCTTTATGATTGATCTGATGAAGTTTTCAGTTTTGTTCGCTGGTTTTTCGGGACTAAACAGCACTGCTGCTGGGCTTTTTTTTCGAGTCAGTGAGAGTGTGGGAGAATTTTGCCGAACGGTCTAATCTGATGTGATAACTTTAATTTTGATAAATTGGCACTGGAAGTGAGCGGCTAATATGTGGTAATGCTGCAGCGGATTAGACTGGCCCGGCTGGAAGTGGTCTAAGCTGCGTTATCTCTGGGCCGAGCCCAACTCCACCCAGTTCTAAATAATATGTCTCGTGTTTCTGGTTCTGGTCTGGACACTGCCTCAAATTAATCTGTCAGCGACTATCGACAGTCGAATCGGCTACCCCATTACCCTGTGCTCTATATTCAGTTACAGATGCATTAAACATGAGCCGTGCCACCATGGGGCAGCCATCGGGTTTCGCCCATTGTTTTCCCTCACCTGTCATAATTCGCCAGCGAGAACATCTAACGAATGCCACCTCGACGACGGCCTACAAACTCCCCTATGCAAATGCAGAACGCTGAAATATTGATATTGAACGCCTGGCTGACTGCAGCAGATATGGATTAACATATGCCAGATGCAGTTAAAAAAATTAGGCAGCCTTACAATAGAATATTAAAACTATTAGAAGCCTTTGTTTAAAATGGTTAGAGGTGACTAATACTAATTAGAGGTGATGAGCTTAGAATACCTCTAAGTGGATCATGTTTCTCCCTGTGCAACTCCGACACCAGGGGCAATTGGCCGCAAAAAGTCACAGCCAATAACCCAACTCAATGCCTTTGGATTCGATCGGTTCTGATCGGATCGACCGAGCCGGGCGAGCGTTCATTTATCTTTATTAGGAATGGCAATTGGAAACGCTGTAGATAACATTCAAAAGGCCGGGAAGGAGATGGAAAGTGGCGGGGCACCCCCGGCTTACGATACACTCATTTAAGTTAGTTATTTATGTAACACACATTTTCTGCTGCGAACAAAACACGATTTCTAAATGGTCGCGCGGCACTTGCATTGGGGCACAATTAAGAGCAATAATTTATGATAAATTGGAATTTAATCAGAAGAATAAAATGTATTCAATGGCACCGGACAAAAGCAGCAGCCGAACCCAAGACAATTTCCTTTTAATTAACAATATGCTAATCGGTCACACCGTTTGTGGCCGTCTGGGGCTCCATTTTCAGGTTCAGGTTCAGGTTCAAGAAACAGTGTAACTAATTTTCTACAAACAAAAAAAAATCTTCAAAAGAAGGAATTATTATCGGGATTTAAAGTAAGAAAAAAATGGCAGCAGCTTGATCCCCTTTGAGAGCTGTCGATCGGATATGATTGAATGTATAATTAATGGCCGGGGATTAGCGACAAGTACAAGCCACACACCACTGGATGCTGTACTGCCGGGGGCAACAAATTAATCAGCACTTATTCGCAAACAGGCGTGGGTGTCTAGAGATATATGTATACGAATATATCTGGTTCTGAAAGGAGTTTGTTCGGGCCAGAGCCCAAAGCCCACAGCCCATAGACGGAGCAACTCAATCAATCAAGGCCAAAACCATTGTCAGTTCCAATATCCTTGCCAGCTGGCTGCGAGTTGAACAAATCCACAAAAAAATCGAATTTTTTATTATTGAATAATTCCATAACCTGTTCAGCATTAAAGTTCATTGCGGCTATACACCATATGCAAAACATCAGCTCGAAGCCCGGGGCAAACGAACTTCCCCCCGCCGCTTTCTAAATATAGTATCACGCATATTTCCAACCAGGTACCGACTAAACTTAGCACTCATTGAAAAAAAATCCACATTTTATATATTCATAAAGGTATAACAATGACAAAAACTAAAAAGAAAACGAAAATACATTCCCCAAAACAGGAAAAACAGTGACACACATACGCACAGTTAACAAATCAAACAAGTTTTTCAATTCTACAACTACGACAATGGCAATTCCACAAGCATCTATTCCTGGTGCACCGGCGTCTCCTCCATGTTGCAGAAGACATTGCGCATTTTGTCCAGATCGGGAGGCGCCGTGTCGGGATTCCGGATCCACATGATATAGGCCTGCTTATCGGTGCGTGTCAGTGGCTTAAAGTTGCGTGGATTTTGTGCCTCCTCGTCCTGCAGCTTCGAGTTGTAGCGCGCGTACAGAAAGATGCGGTATCGCCAGTTGTCGAAGGTCTGCTTCCACTCCGTAACGTGCTTCACTGCCCCCTGGGGCACGGCGTTAAGGAGATTAGCCAGCTTTAACCAATAAGGATCCAGCACGGGGTCGTTGCGGCGGTGGTCGTTAATAAACTGGTGCTGTTGTAGAAAATGAACGTACAGTTCCTTTTGCCGCTTGGACATGCGTTCCTTGCGTTCTGCAAAATAAAATATTTAAACATTGCTATTAAAAATAATTAATTATTTATTGGTGCTACCACTTACGCCGAATGTTATTGGTGGTAGTCGAGCCCATGGCCATGTTGACTCCCTGCTGTTGCTGCTGCTGGTGTTGTTGCTGCTCCTGCTGCTGTTGCTGCAGGAGGGCCAAATGCTGTTGCTGCTGCTGCAAGTGCTGATGCTGCTGCTGCTGCTGGATCATGTATTCGTGCTGAATACGCTCCTGCAGCAGTTGATGCTGCTCCTCCTCGTGCTGTTGCTGGTGCTGGGCTAAGTGCTGAATGTGCGACGTGGGTGGCGGAGGCAGTGGCAATGCCGCTGTCAAAGGCAAAGGCGGTGGCGGCAAAGGCTGCGAGTGCGGCGAGTCGGGCAAATCGTCCTGCGTGTCGTAGTCCATCTTCGGAGAACAGGCCTCGTAGGCGGGCATGCCCAAGTCCGCCGACGCAGTCCCACTGCTGTCCTTCTCAATCCGATACTTAATGTTCTCTTCATGCTCGTGGTCATGATCAGGTTCCTCCTCTTCACAGGCTGGCAATGCCATAATCGGCGTAGGCGCGGCCTCTAGAACATTGTTTGCCTGGCACAGATTGGTGGGTTCTTCGGGGGTCGGCGATTCGCCGAGTAATTTCTGATCCGCACAGCGGCACTGTCGATTCTGCATAAAGTTATCCAGGGCCGCATCGTACACTAAAAAAGAAGAAACAGAATTTACATAAATGGGAATGTGCTATACCTATCGTAAGTTTCTTATAACCCTTAGCCAAATTTAAAACTGCAGTTTCTTTTCCCTAAATATATTGTATTTTTTGCTTAGCACTAGTTAAAGTACAGATCAACAGCTGCATATCTTTGCTCTTAAATCCCTTATGCACTTAGTAATCGTAGCTATTGGTGGCTGTGGTGGCTTCATCTAGGGGGACGAACATGTCCATTTTATCGTAATCCTGCGGCGCTATGTGTTTGTGACTAGTCCACATCGCGTATGCCTTCTGATCGGTTGCGGTCAGGGGCTTGAAGTTCTTAGGATCGCTAGTCTCTGACATGCTCAGCTTGGAGTTGTAACGCGTGTACATGAATATGCGGTAGCGCCAGGCATCGAATGTCTGCTTCCAGTCCTCCACATTTTTCACAGCACCTTGTGGCACACTGTTCAACATGTGGGCCAACTTTGCCCACAGAGGTTCGGTAAGTCCATCGTGACGGCGGTGGTTGGATAGCATGCAAGGGTTGTCCTCGAAAAACTTCACATACAGCTCCTTTTGATCCTTAGACATCCGCTCTCCGCGTTCTTCAATAGAAAATCAAGGAATAAGTGGGAATTTGGGAAATTGTTCAGGGGTTATCTCACTTCTAAAGCGACTCATTAGGCCCGGAGTGTACGGCGCTTGTTGCGACGGATTTGGTGCATTCATCGGCGGTAGTGTGTGCGTGTAGTTGGAAAATATCTGCTGACCCGGAAGTAACTGTGGCTGGTGCTGCTGTTGCTGTTGCACTTGGTGCTGCTGCTCCTGTCGCGCTAAAAACCGTGACGCCCTCTGCAGCCGCTCTACCTCCGACTCGGACTCGGCTTTGGGTATAATGTCCATTGGGTCTATTGACTGGGTTAGCGATTCCGGCGTACGTTCCGAATAGTTTTGGCTAAGACGCAGTTTTTGGGCACTGTCTGCTGGCTCCGGACCAGAATTGTTGGCCTGCTGGTCCAGCGGCGAGTCCACTGGCTCACTGTTTAAGCCCAGAGCGGGAGAATTTGGCTGCGATCCGGGAACATATTCATGGTGGGAAGCACTTTCGTTGGATCGCTGTGGCAGTGGCACATGATGCTGATGCGGAAGTTGGTGGGGGTGTGCCTGATGAGGCGGCTGCTGTTGTTGGAGGTGGTGCTGCTTTAAGGCGGACATTGAGCAGGAGGGCTCGTAGGAGAGCAGCTCCTTTGCGTGGCCATCGTCCAAGGCTGCAAGAGGGAGCATTTTACAATTTGGGTTTTATTACAGATGGCAATCTGCAGAGACTTACAAGCAAAGCGCACGCTATGGCTGCCGCGTCTATATGTATATACACAAAAGATATAAGGGCCTACATATACGGTAGGAATCCGAGGGAGAAACTCCCGAACGCTTATACGCTAATTAAAACCCGACTTAGTGACTAGAGGCCCTTATTGGCTATTTACCTTGACTGATTTCTATAACGAAATTGGTGAGGTCGTGCCTTTGGGCCAGATAATGGAGCAGCAGTTCATCCGGGATGTTAAAACCAATCTTTTTGTTCCGGAACTCAAAGTTGTAGATCCCGAAGGCGGCGCGCACTAAAAGATCACCAAAAATGTATTATTAGGCGCCCACACCCACTAATTTAAGTTTTATGACCCGACCCCACGGTGCTTACCAACATTCTTTAGATCCCATATGTTGAGGTTGCGATTTTCCTCGGGCACTCCTATCATCAGAAGCTTCTTCGTGTCGCGGAACTGAAACGGAATTATAATTCCCGATCGCAGCACCATTTTCAATGCGCCACCGATTTCACACGCGATTTTCACAGTTTTTCATAAATTTCCACCTTCGTTTTGTGGTTATCTTCCGTAATTGTTTTGCTCGTTGTCCATTCTTGTTCGTAAACACGGAACTAGTTCCTGGATTGTATACAGTGTGGCAACTCTATTAGGCTGCAACAGTAGAAACACAATAAGATGTAAAATTAATCAAAATTTTAGTTAAAATAAAATTAAGAAAAGGTGTGCTAATCAACATTAAACGTAATTATACTAAACCAATAAACTATTATTATATAAACATTTATTTATATAATGAAACTGCACTGTGGATGAGTAATGCATGGTAATTGTTGTTGATAAACAATCGAGAAGGGTGGCAGCACCATAACTATTTTATTGTGATTTTATTTTGGTAGAAATTCATGAAATATTTTCAATTTACCTTTTAATTATATTGTGAATAACAACTAAAACTTCCCAGATCGATTATTACCCAAGAAACCACTAAGAGTGCCATTCCACATCTCTCAAAATGCTCGAAAACTGCCAAAGACACCATATGCTGCTCGGGCTCGGCGCCCTTACAGGAGTGACCATCTTGGTGCTCATTGTGGAGTCCAGGTACGCAGCTGAAGGACCCCGCCGTCGGGAGCAACAGTTCGTCATCGAGAACAACTCGACCTGCTGGCGGCACGAGAAGTACACAGTGGTGCAGGAGTGCCATCCGTGCTCGGAGTTCGACATAGTCAGTAAGAGCCTTGGAGTCTGCATCCATACCCACTACAAGGAGCTGCTGCGCTGTCAGAGCGGAGAGATAGTCACCAGAAGCTGCGACCGGGTGGCCCTCATTGAACAGCGAAACTTCCTAAAGTTCGAGATCCTATGCTTCATTGTGGGAGCACTTAGCTATTTGCTTAGCTACGCCCGGGATCGGATCCTGTCCAGGCGTACCTACATGAAGATCGAACGGCAGCTGAACCGAGTACAGTAGCATAAGCTTCCAGTCACTCCTCCATCCAAGTGATACTCATTGTCAGTAGTGAAGGTACATTGTTTAATTTATTTAAGTACATACACTCTTGAAATACCTTGTTAATATTGATTTGCTAATACTAGGGGTATGTAGATATTGCATGCTTGTGGAATGCTCGTTTCTGAAGGGACAAACAATAATATGCATAACATTTTTGCCTTGGCAGGCACGAATATGACCAGTTTCCAATGAAAATATTCAGCTGCCTGGAATGGTTAAATTATACTGTCGTTTCTCTAATTCCGCCAGTCAGGGATCAAATCTGGCTCAACTCCCCTGGTGGCAGTGTTTGGCATAGCTGGAGGAGCAGCCGTGGGCAGTGCGGGTGGCGACTGCTGAGCATCCAGAGTCTCCTCACTGGTGGTGCTCGCGTTGCTGCAGGCCTTCAATGAGTTGTCGGTCATCGGCAATGGTTTGGCCACTCCTATACGGACCACTCCTTTGGGAGCTCCCTTTAGTGCTTGTACAGCCTGATCCAACGAGGCGTTCTCCAGATTAATGGAGTTCACAAACAGTAATCTGTCGCCAGGTATCAGCCGTCCATCCAACTGCGCCACTCCACCTGGCACCAAAGACCGAATCACTATCAGGGTGTCATTGGGATCCAACGGATCCTGATAGTCCAGTATAGAAAATCCAAGACCGCGGTCGCCCTTGACCAGTTCGATGATTTGCGGCTGGGAGGACCACATCGCTAAGCCAGTGAGAGGCTCCAGTGAGCGCGACTTGAGCTTGCTGAAAGATGCGGCTGCGGCAGCTACCGAGTCTCCATCAGCCATAGATCCTGCAGTGGCTAGGCTACCATCTGATTTAGCTTTGACAAGGCGATCGGTGGCAGGCAAGAGATTCTCAAAGTTGTTGCTCAGCTTTTTCAGGGTGTCATCGGAGAAAGGCAGCAGCGATGTGTTTCTATTTCGCCCACAGACCATGCGTACGTCCAGCGGTAGCTCCTTCAAAATAGCAACCACCTCCAGGTGGTTCATCCCAAGGAGGCGTTCGCCATTCACCTCCAAAAGCTCGTCTCCCGAGCGGAGCACTCCATTGACTCCAACTGGTCCGTCGGGTAGGATGGAACGTATATAATGGTGCGGGCGAACTTCCCTTCCACCCTCAACATCGACGGTGCCCTCCAGAGAGATTCCCAAGCCGCCGACGGCGAACTTCTTGATCTGCGCTACAATAACCTCCACATCGGAACCAACAATCTTTAGCCACTTGCGAACAATCTCCGACTCCACATCGTCAGTGAGCTCCGGATCCGTATAATACTTGTGGCGGGTGATTAAGCCACTGTTTTTAGCCTAAAAAATAAATGTGTTTTACTAAAAATTTCTTGGGAATGGGAATATTTCAAGTTACCTCAGTTTTTTCCGCCAAAGGTACTACTTCCGTGGGTATTATCTTCGTCGAGCCATCCAATGAATCTCGCACAGCTACTAGTTGTTTTCCCGCTCCAAAGGAGCTCAAAGTAGTAGTGGTCAGCGTGGTAGCCGAGGGAGGAGAGGTCATGAAGGCTTCTGGGGCAGGCAAAGCCTCTTCTTCCAATTCTCGCGTAAGACTCCTTGAAGGTGTTGTGGTCGCCGAGGACGTTGTAGCCACGGGCGTCGGCAGTGGAGCCCTTGAAGGCGTTCCAGGGGCACTGGAGGGCAGTTTATCGTTGGCTGCAATTGCTTGCTGTAGTTGCTCAAACTTGGGACCTCTTAGGTACCGCTCCAGCCGCAAGTTTACCACCTGGCCCGACTTCTTGAGAAGCTCAACGGCCTGGTGGTTGGAGTAGCCTTGCAGCGACTGGCCATCTACCTCGATAATCCGATCGTTTACTCGGATCCTTCCACTCAGATCTGCTGCTGATCCTGGAGACACACTCTTTACAAAGATTCCGGACAGCTCCTCCTTTTCGCACACATAACCGGCGATGGTGATTCCCAATCCGTTGGCGTCTTTTTTTAGTTCTACCTGCAGCTTCTCCGTCTCGGGCAGCGCTAATAACTCATCAAGGCCGATGCTCGGATCAATCAGCATTGAGGTCTCGCCCCTGTAGACAAATCGATCATCCTCAGTTGTGGTCTGGGGGGTGGAAGCCGTGGAGCTCTCGCCAAAGATCTCCGGATAGCCGGTGGATATGAGGTATCGCTCCAACTCGACTGGATCGACGAGCACGCGAGTTGGCACAACAGCAGTGCCTGGCTCCAAGGCATACTGAGGCGTGGGTAAGTTATGCTCGATTGGACGAGCTACAACGAGGCGGACGTGGGTTCCCGACTGACGCAACACGGCGGCCACCTGCTCCGACACCATTTCATGAAGATTGACGTCTCCAATCTGAAGAATATGATCTCCAGAGCGCAAGCGACCATCTCTATCGGCCACTCCGCCAGAAAGGATGGTTTTAACTATCACTCCAGAATTTCGAGCTCCAATAATGCCAAATCCCAGGCCCGTGCCATCGTTCACCAGTTCAATAGCTTGAATCTGGGCGTAGTCCGTAGCATACAAATCCGCTCCGACGGCTCCTTTGGAGTTCTGGCTCTGCGGGCGACGTTCTTCACCAGTTCCCACAGACTTGTCCGGGCTTCCGGGTGCGGAATGGGACTGGGACGAAGAACGCTGCTCGTCAAAGTCATACATCACCTCGCCGCCATTGAGGCTAAGGACAAGATTGCCAGCCACATCGATATCAAAGTCGTTGGGCAGCATGGACGGGTGCTGGCCCAGTTGGGCATTAAGTTCAGACAGCGAATCCTGTACATGGACGATGGTGCGAAAGACGGGGTCCTGCAGAATGCCCAGGATGGTGTTCAGGCTCTCTGCCGTCTGCATCTGCAGCTTGGGATCGTCGGACTCATCGATGCCCTTTTTCACAGCCTCCATCTGCTGCAGGGCGCTGGATATGTCCGCACTGAGGTGCATGCTGGTAAACTGTTCTCGGCCAATTCCAGTGTAAGGCGAGGCCTGTGGCCAGTGGAGCGTGCTCTGTGTCTCTACGCCACTTCCGCTGACGTTTTACTCAATTTTCTGGGTGGGTGGGGTGTCGTTGGCACACTTTGATGGATAAGCGGATTTACCCCAAAAAGTGGAACAACTGTGGAATCTTCGGCAGTTACTTTGGTCTCAACATATGGACTCCTTGCTTAGTTGGCTCTTGCTGTTTTCTTGTGGGCCCAGACTGTGCGTTCGCTGCAATAATTGATTTTTAATTATCCGCAGAATGCCAATGCATTTCTTTTTTGCTTTGAACTAGAGATGGAAGCGTGACCTATAATTTGGGTTTCGTGCGTGAGTGGGTTGTGTCTCCGCTAACACTGCTTGCAATCATTCGATTTTTGTATACCCTTGTGACATTATTCTTTTGGAGATATATTCTAAATTTTAAGTCCATCAGTTTATCAAAAATTTTTAATGTGTAAAGTTATATACTAAAATATTATATTCAGAAGCATTAAAAGATACAAAGAGTTTTAAGCTTGAAAACATTTTTCCCTCTATCTACCAGAAAAATACCTCAAATTTCCTTAATAGAAAATATTAGGGGGAGCCCCTTACAAAATCCCGGAAACCCATAACGCCCACTGAAAATGTGTATATTTTCGCCAATTTTCACCCGATCATTGAGAGGAAGGCCTTTAAATTTCATTTGTAGGCCTTAAATTTGTAGTTCAATTTTCTAAAAATCTTTATCAAATCCTCAAAACAAAAAACCAAATAAATTTTTTTCTAAATTTTTGAGGGGGACCCCTTGCTAAATCCTGGAAATCCATAACGCCCTCTGGAAATGTCTATATTTTCGCCAATTTTCACCCGATCCTTGAGAGGAAGGCCTTAAAAGTTTTGTTGTTTGATTTCCTAACAATCTTCATCAAAACCTCAAAACAAAAATCAAATAAATTTTTTTCAAAAATTTTGAGGGGGACCCCTGCAAAATCCAAAGAATATTGTAAAGATTCGTACTCAATAAAAATTGGTGAACGAAAGATTTCAATTTATTGCGTCTCTACGTATAATTTAAAGCTATAATAGAATAATGGAACTGCCTAATTCATGTGTTTTCCCTCTTCCTCTGCCAGCTCGATTTCCATTTTCCGGAACTCTCGGAAGAAGTCACGGGTTGCCCCTTTCATTCGCGGTGTCAGGTACTTGGGAAAAATATCTGCAAAATATAATAAAGTTAGAGGACATATTGAGGCCTTTTTCCAGAATAATCTACAATTAAATTCGATGATCAGGTCACCAAATTGTTCGATCTTCTTGTTGGCCTCCCTGATGGCAGTGGTCGCATCCATGTTGCGGCACTTTGGCAATCCCTCTAGGGGTATGACCTTTGTGTAGCCCGGGTACACCACATCCGTGATCACAACCTTCAGCTCCCGTTTGTCCAGAGTGCAGATAAAGAACATAAATCCGGTGAGGGCTTGGCTAAGATCTATGTTGTGCCGGTAGACCAGGTCATGGTGGTTCCTTCGCTCAAAATCAGGATGTGGCTTGTCAGCGGCTATAAATATGATGTCCCCCGGAATGGTAGCTGGATAACGATCTCCTTCCTCCTTGAAGCAGAACCGAGTGCCGGCAGTTGTGCCCGGTGCAATGTTTAGCTTTAGAGTATGCTTCCGCTTCTCCAAGCGGGACTCCTTGGCGTCCACGATCTCCTGGCGCCAAACGTGCATGAGTTTCACGCAACCCGTGCGCACTTCCTCCAGAGAGAGCTGTATGATCCTCTCCGTGCTTGAATCCTTCGTTCTGACACCTATGCCATGCTGACGAGTGGCATACAAGCTCGGTGGATTGGCGATGGCATCGATCACATTGGCGTAGGGCGAGTAGCTTGCAAAGACTTTCTCGTACACCTTCATGTGGTCGCCATGATACTGGTATGGTGGAAAGTAGCCATTGGGAAGCATGACGCCCTCAAAGAGACCAGCCTCGCCAAAGCGATCGTATATAGCCCGATAGAGATCGTTACCCAAAACATCATAGGCCATATTTATATAGGCCCACTGCTTTAGTTCGCCCATCGGAGATAGATGGGTCAGGCGCCCTTCTTGCGCCAGCGGCACAAAATCATGTTCGTCCTTCTTATCGCGATGTGGACACAGTCGGATGGCCAGACGGCGGTACGCCAAGGTTATTTGCTCCTTGCTGGCTCCTCTCGGCTGATCCAGCACAGCATAATAATCGAGCTCTGGACGATTCATTTTATTTCGACTCAATATCGAAATACTTTTTGTGCGACTGACAGTAGCTTACTGAGAATTTAGCTGACTTTATTTAGCTGACAAATTATATACAAAAACTCAACTGACGCGGGTGTCTATGGTGTGGATGAAATATGTGTGTGGACATTACATTACGATTAGACCTATGGTGTGGCAATGGAACGGATGGCGGCGATCAGTCAACGTCGTCGGTGCTGACACCAGTGTAGATTGGCTCCTCCTTGGTTTTCTCAGACTTGGCGTCGTCGGTCTTTTCCTTCTCCTCGCCGGCAGCGGCCGCCTCCGGTTCATCATCATCCTTGTCCTCTGCTAAGTCACCAGCGTTGGGCACCCAAAGTCCGGAATCTACGCACCGCTTCATATGATACTTGGCTACGTCCACGGGCATAGCAGCGATCGTCTTTTGCAGAAGTTCCACATCTCGCGATTCGAAACAGGCCTTCAGTTCCTGTTTTTCATAAAAATAATTAAAAAATTCTATTTTTGCAATCAATAAAGTTCTTACATCTGGCAGGGACTCGAAGACATCTGCTGGATCCAGACCTCCGGGTCCCATCCTTTCCTTGCGCTCCTCTTCCTCCGCCTGAGCCACAGCTTCGGCGATCTTTTCCTGAGCACGTTTTTGGATACGCGCTTTGAAACCTTCGATCTCGCTCTCGAACTGCGCTCGGTATTCCGGAAGGCAATGTTGGATTTTGGAGAAAAAGGAGCTCACACAAGCTCTGGGATCCACGTCCAACTGCTTGGCAAGCTCCAGGATGTACTGCATGCAAATGCACTGGTGAGCCACATGGGCCATCAACTCGTGCTTCTCCTCCATCTCGAGGTTGATGGACCAAATCACCAAGTAGTTGGCAGTCTCCTCGCCAACTAACTCCAAGTGATCCTGCAGGAAACGCTTCGAGTCATCATACTTTCGCAGCATTCCGTACTGCTTGCAGAGCTTCTCGTTATCCTTGACGAACTGTTTCATCCGCTGCTCACGTTCCTCTTCCGACAGATTCTCGTCCGGCTTGCGGCCGGCCTTCTTGTTGATCACGGTCTTCTCAAAACCCGGCTTGCTAATGGTGTCCACGTTCCAGGGAGTTTTCTTTTCCTTTTTAAGCATTTCGTTTTCAGCTCGGTCCAATTCCTTGCCTTCATTCTCTATCTTTTCTAGCTCTTTCTGCAGGAACAAATATGTACATTCTAAAGGGTTCTTTGTACGGTAGTTATTGAACCTACCTTTAGGGCCTTCTCGTCTCCATCTTTCTTGGAAATGCGCTCCTTGACATCCATTAGCCGAGCCTGGAAACTTTGACGTTTTTTCTTGAACTCCTCCTTTTCCTTGTCCATCTCAGCCATGCGCTCCACACGCGCCTGGTGCCGCCATCGGAACAGCGAAGGCGTGTCGATGTTCGGGTGAGTGTCATCCTCGTCGTCTGAAATCTAGAAAAACACCGGTTTGCGAAAAAGTCGAATTTTGTTTTGTTTATTTCCTCGAAGACCCACCTCAATGTTTTTCCATTTACTGTAATCAACCATGGTCTTTGTTCACTGCGGTTCTTATTTGAAATTAAATGCTGCGAAATCTTTTCCTTTTTATTTCTCTTTTTGCAATTCAGAGTTGCCAGATGTTTGCGATTTGTTGTATTCCTTATCCCCAAAATACCAAAACAGATTTCTTTATTTTTGGTATTTTTTAGCCCGCGAATAAAAATTCTTATAAATTTAAGTAATTAAATATTTTCCTTTACTTAATGCTTCAAATTATAATTATGGACTATATAATTATATACTATAAACGTACGATGAGAACCGTAAAATATTAAAGAAATAAATTGGACCTCTTTCAGTGAAAATATGGGGACCGTTGGTGGATATGTAAAAAATACCAACTCTTAAAGTTTCTCTGGGTACACCCACCCTCTGCCAACTGTTTTTCAACACTGGACAAAAATTACTACTACCGTGCGGTTCACGAGAATTCAGACGCTCCGATAAAATAGCGAAAACTCTTTGAAAATCAATAGTATAATTTACAAATTATCTGTGAATCGATAGAGTTGCCATCAAAGTGTAAGTTTTCAATAATTTTATCCCTGTAGCCTACTGTTAGTTGGGTATAAATTGCAATTGAAATTCGGCGTGCGTGAAGTGAAAATTTTTTCGGGTCAACGCCACACCCTCAGCGGGCGACTTTGGAATCCAATTAAGCCCGGAAGTTGCGAAAGAAAGTCTTGGCCGCAACTCAAAATGCATACTTCTCTGCCTACAGAGTCCAATTAGCCAGAGAAATGTAGATTTTTGGTCAAAAATTCCACGTAAATTGCATTTGAAAAAAAGTATCTGGTACTTGAATTGCGTGTTGGTGTGTAACGTTGTGTGCGTTTGTGTGTGTGTACCTGAGTGGTGGTGGTGCGGCAACTTCAGATGAGAACCTGGTTAAGATAGAGATACATAGAGAAAGCGCAGGAAAGAGCTGCCGCCGCTCTCTCTCTCTCTGAGTGTGTTTACGAAAGTCCGAGTATGAAGTAAAAAAAATGTTTGACTTGTATTTTGATATAAACCTGTTTGGCGGTGGGACATGTCCTTGACTTTACAACCAGCTTGTTTACGTAGGATATTTTTTTGGATGAGAGTATCGCACATACATATGTATGTGTGTATGGGTACCATTGATTCCGGGCCCCAAACTTTGCGCTCTTCCATCATTGCTCATAATTCCAAACCGTGAGCATTACGTCATCCTCAGCTATTTTCTGATAGACACTTCAATTAATGTAGCCTTTGGTTGTGTGTAACAGCAAGGGGCAAAATAAAAGCAGATGAGTTCAACCTGTAGTGCCATGTATTTGAGTTGTGTGGGGGTAATGTTTTTTTTTTTAATTAAAAATAAAAAATAATAATAAATTAAGTTTTAAAGTTAGACTCAATACTCGATCTCTCTTTTATGTGGCAGGTAGCTTAGGCTTTTGATGCACCTGCAGGGTATACCCACGTCGGTTAATGCCAACGCCTTTCTTTCTAGTATTTTGTTGTTGTTTTTGTTTGTTACCGTGATAAACAGTTAAATTGGCTGCCTTGGTGTTTGTGTGCATGTATGTGTTTACATTTGTATGGCTGCTTAGCATGGGATATTTTACGTCTCTTTCCCACATATATTTCAATTTCCTGCGGCTGCAGTGGCGGTGGCGGTGTGGCATGAATTTTGTTTTGAATGTGTGTTGTTTGTTTGCCCGAATGTTTGACCCTCCCTAAAATCCAATGATGTCATCGCCCACCACCACCACTTCTGCTCGCGATCTGCTCAGTTGACCTCTGAGCTTATCTTTTTCTGTGTCGATAATGGAGTTGTAAATTCTTGAAATTTCCTAATCACTTTTGTGCAAAAGGAATTTGTTTTAGTGGCCTAACTGTGTTAGTAGAGTAAAAAACGTTAAATTAACTAATTAATTAGTTAACCTATTTGTATTACCTACCTACGTACTATAGTCCTCTCAAGTTTTTTCCTAAAATACATATCCCAAAACCTACTACTAATTCTTATTATCCTAATTAGAATTTTACCTCTTATATAGCCTTTCATGCCGGTGATGATGTAATCAAAATTTAATAACCACTATTCTTTGATTTAGTTTAATGTGTGTGTGAATAAGTGATGTCAATCTATTAAAAGCAAAAAAAAAGGAATATAATAAAAATCAACAAAACAATCCAAACCTTTCAAAACAAAAACCAAAATCTATAAATAAAAGTACAATTATGTAGAAAATGAAACCCCTCACAAAGCCGAGCGTGTACACAAGCCAACAATTTTCCTTCTCTCCATTTCCGTTTCAGGGAAAACGAGAAAATTGATAGAGTGAGAGAAGGTCAAAAATAGCTCGAGCTCGAGGAGTCTCTAGAAGAAGTAGAGCAGCAGCCGCCTAGACTGCCCACAGAGGAGCAAGCGAAAAGAGTATAGAGAAGAGATGCCCCAGCCGGAAGAGAAGCATCTTCAGCAGCTGCTGGTGCAACTGGAGAAGGTGCCACGCCCTCAGCTGCAGCAGAAGTTTGTCGCCTCCTTCAAGAAAGGTCAGAAGGGCCAGGCGGGCCAGTGCTGCCTGGAGGACTTTGCGGCGTACTTTCTGTCCGCATTGCGGCATCACACGAAGAAGTACTATTACTCGCGGAGCTCAGAAACTCCTGTAAAGTCAGTGACGCCCCTCCGCCATCAGAGACCACCGCCCGAAGATGTCGTTCAGGAGCCGGATGAACAGCTATTTAACGAGTCGTTCGGCAACAGAAGCGCCTCCAGTGCAGCATCCACGTCCACTCCGGCCAGGCAACAACCGCAGAGCCGTCGCTCCACACCAGCTAGTGGGGGCGGGCAGTTCTGCAGCACACCTCAAAGCGGTGGAGGCAACAGGAGCGCCGGTGGAGGAGGAGGCGCTAGCCACAGCTTTCGCTTGGGCGACTTCCTAGTCAATACCCCCAACCAGAGCCAGCAGCGGATGAAGAAGAAGACTACACCCCAAAATCAAGGTGGGGCCGCCACTTCGGGGTCAACGCCCACCCCACAATCTAAGCCGCGCCGAAGAGTCCTGCCCATGACGATTAGCAAGAATGTGTCCGCCAACTCCTCCTTCGGGGACACCAGTTCCTTTAGCAACGACAACAACCTGTGGCGGCTCTCGCAGAGCAGCGAAATATTTGATCGAAGCCAGGGAGCAGCATTGGAAATGGAAGCCCGGAAGTCCCTGCTCCTTCACAAGCAGGAAATCAAGAGCGAGGCGCCGGTGAATCTGAGCCAGCAGGAGCAGAGGACTCCGGACGATGAACCGCTGCCGATTGAGAGCGTTAGCCTGGAAGATGTCCAGGAAACGGCCCACTTGCAGTTGCTGTCTGCGATTTATGGCCTCCTCATAGACCTCAACTTGGTGCCCAATATCCTCAGCGAACTCAGCTTCGCGCTCCAGCTGCTCAACGTCAGAGACTTGGCCCAATCCCCAGAAGAGTCCAGCACATCGAAGCCGTTTGAGCGACTCTCTGACTATAAAAGTTGCGTTTTCTTTGCAGCCAAACTTCTGGAGAGCCAACAGAAGCTTCTCCTCCAGCTGGACCGCAAGACGATGGGTGTGCTTCTACAAAACGAGCGCCTAAGCTTGCTACCCCAGGGCATGTTGCAACAGCTGGAAGTTTCCTGCCAGCAGAAGCAAGACTTTTCGAGAGGAGAGACTCCGTCGTCCTCTTCCCAACAGAATGTTTACTTCCACGAGGAGAAGGACTCGAGGGACAACTTTCCCTCGGAGAACGAGTTCCGCGCCTTCAAGTCCCAGAGAGATCTGTTCTACAAGACCTTCAAGCAGTGGGAGGCGAGTCATCTAAACCGAATTTTCAACTTTGCCAATGAGCTGAACCCCAAGGTGCGGGAAATCTTCAAGGTTTCGGACCATCCAGTTAACATGGCGCACTTTGCCAAGTTGTTTGTCAGCCAGCTGCTGATTTCCGCCACCGAGACCACAGAATCTCCCGAAGAGCTGGGCCTGAAGTTGGATCCTTTGCGGCTCAACAGGCTCGCCCAACGCCTGGTGACCTCCAACTCGAGTGTGGAGGGTCAGTTTCCACGCTCGCAGGCTTTCTTCCGAGACTTTATCGCCGGCTGCCCCTCAATGGCGTTTCTCGTCCAGCTCAAGATAGCCCTCTACGTCCAGCTGATGCGTCACAACGAGTCAACCTTTGAACTGCTCCAGCTTTCGGAGGATGTGGGCTCCGAAGATCAGTCCGCCTCGCAGGGTCCGTACATAGTACGAGTTCAGACCATGGCCAATATGCTGATTTTGGCCAAGTTTCTGGGCTTTGTGACGGTGCTGCCCTTCAGCGGCACAACGCAGCACGGAGGACCTGCTCTGCCGGTTGTCTGCCCCCAGCAGCTGCAGCTTCGCAGCCACTTCCAGCCGGAGTTCAATCTGAGGGAGATCGTCGAGCGTTCCATGCGGCAGGGCAAGCTTCTCATTACTCTGCCGTGGCTGGTACAGTACCTTGTAATGCTGGACTTGGTTAGTCTGCAGTTGCCGGATTCCCTGGCCACCTTGGAGCTCCTTTACGGACTGTATGCTTCACTGAGGACGGAAAAGATGCAGCCTGGAGCAGTCTTCATAGTCAGGACCTGCATTGGTTGGTTGCTGGACGCGCAGCCCCAACTGGTTCTTGGCTATTATGGGTACCGGAAGACGGAATCGGGATCATCGCAAGTTGCAGGAACTATAGAGCATTGCCTCAGTGGGCTGCGCTCCCAGGAGAACTCCCTTGCTCCCTCGCTGGAGGAACTGCTTCCTGTGGCATGTCCCTTCTTGCAGGAGTTTCGAGTGAGCATCACCCCGTCGAAGCAGGCGCGAAGCGGTCGCTTCCGCTACATCACTACGCGGCTGGAGCAACTGACACACAACAGCAGCTCGAGTTCCAAGGAGGTGATTGTGCCTCCTTCCGAACTGACACCCGCGGACCACCAGCAGCGCCGCTTGGCAGATGCCTTCCTCCACTCCCAGAACGCTTCCACGCGGAGATTGATTGAATTTGTGACGGAGCGCTGCTTCAAGTGCGTCGTGAAGGACGCTCAGCAGGAAATCCTACTCCCGTCCAAGGCGGCGGCAGATGGGAAGGTAAACGAGATCTCCTCGGAAGAAGAAAATGAGGTGCTGCTGCAGCTGCAGCAGATATTTCAGCAGGCCAGGGAGCAGGCTTGTCAGAGCTGGAAGGAAAAGGTGCCACAGTTGCTAAGCCAAAAGATAACTAGTTCATTGGAGGCACTGCTCCCCGCCAGCACCAACGAGGTGTTGCGCTCCACCTACGCCCATCTCATCCGTTGCCAAGCGCAGGTGCAGTTGCAGCAGTGGCTGCAGGCCAGTGTGCTGCAGTCGACCTTCTATCACGGGGATCTCCAGGAGCTGGCCACGAAGGTTTGCCACTCGAACAGGTACAAAGCGACTGCTGCCGAAGGCGGTACCAGCGAGCTCCAGCTTTCTTCGGACACTGGCTTCAGTTTGTCGGAGCTACTCTTCCAGATGCAGCAGTGGCGTCATAGCCTCAGCCTCCGCCCGGACACCGTGGGAACCCAAAAGGAGCTTGTCGAGTTTCTCCGTCAAAGCCAACAGGCAGTCCTCCTAAAGCAGCTGCCAACTGTTTTCTATCATCTGATTGGTTCCGGCCTGGTGCACCTCCTGCAGCTCCTCATAACCAAGAAACCACAGTTCCTTACCTCTGACGTAACCTCCGTCTGTTGTGTGGTGTGGCTCTCGCCGCAGCTATCGCCCAGCGAAGGCTGCCCCAGCATCTTTGAAGGACTCCTGAGCGTCACATTCATAGGGGAACTGGGAAAGAATCCCTACGGCTTCGTGCTGCTGGAGGAGCTTCTCCGAAGTATGCTTCAGACAGGAGTCATGCGGGCCGATCAACTCAACGAGCTATTTATGCCGCTATTTCGCGAGAACTGGCCTCCCAATGTGTGGACGCCTCTCTCTAATCTCCTCCAGCAACTTTCAATCTCCGGAAGCGCAGCCGCAGGCCAGAATACATCCGCTGCTGGAGATAGCCCCGAAGACGAGGCCAAGTCGCATCTCTTTATGGAGATGTTGGCCGATCTTTCGCGCGATCTGGATAGCTTTTAATATTGTATAATCATTCTTATGTAACGTATCGTTTGTGTGTCGAATAAATGTTCCTTTTTATAAAATTTTGCTGAAAATAACTCGGAACTAAGCGGGGTAACTGGCGGGCTATGTTGTTGATAAGATAAGGCGATAGCTTGGGACGACATATGCGTCACTTGCGTACTTTTGGATTGCTGATATTGTGGAGCGAGGTTGTCAAGCGATGTGATCATCGATCGTATAGAGTAGAGGGTGATCTATGTGCATTCCAAAGCTAAAACTTTCAAAGGCTTATATTATAACTTTAAACTTTAATTAATGGAATAAAAATAATTTAATAATATCCTTCTATTTCCATTTACAGTTGTGCACGGACAAACATTTGATGAAGAGGAATCCCCAGTATTAAATCGAAACAACTTTCGAAGCGCCTTATTTAACCAAAAAAAACACTAACGAAACGAACGACACACTCTGAAGAACACATAGATCACATAGCAACATGGAGAACTTCACACCCAAGGAGGTGAAGATCCTGGAGACCGTCGAGGACATCCAGGAGCGACGTGAGCAGGTGTTGTCTCGCTACAATGAGTTCAAGATCGAGACGCGTCAGAAGAGGGAGAAGCTCGAGGACTCGCGTCGCTTTCAGTACTTTAAGCGCGATGCTGACGAACTGGAGTCTTGGATCCACGAGAAGCTGCAGGCCGCCAGCGAGGAGAGCTACCGGGATCCCACAAATCTGCAGGCCAAGATCCAGAAGCACCAGGCCTTCGAGGCAGAGGTCTCGGCCCATAGCAATGCCATCGTCTCGCTGGACAACACCGGCCAGGAGATGATCAACCAGCAGCACTTTGCTTCCGAGACGATTCAGCGCCGTCTGGATGAACTGCATCAGCTGTGGGAGCTGCTCCTGAGCCGCCTGGCTGAGAAGGGGCTGAAGCTGCAGCAGGCTTTGGTCCTCGTTCAATTCCTTCGCCAGTGCGAAGAGGTGATGTTCTGGATCAAGGACAAGGAGACCTTCGTTACCGCCGATGAGTTCGGCCAGGATCTGGAGCATGTGGAGGTGCTGCAGCGCAAGTTCGACGAGTTCCAGAAGGACATGGCTTCGCAGGAATATCGCGTCACTGAGGTCAACCAGCTGGCCGACAAACTGGTTCAGGACGGCCACCCGGAGAGGGACACCATTTCCAAGCGGAAGGAGGAACTGAACGAGGCCTGGCAGCGTCTCAAGCAGCTGGCCATTGTTCGCCAGGAGAAGCTCTTCGGGGCGCACGAGATCCAGCGCTTCAACCGCGATGCCGACGAGACCGTCGCCTGGATTGCCGAGAAGGATGTGGTACTGTCCTCCGACGACTACGGCCGCGACTTGGCCAGTGTCCAGGCTCTGCAGCGCAAGCACGAAGGCGTGGAGCGCGATTTGGCCGCCCTGGAAGACAAGGTTTCTACTTTGGGAGCCGAGGCCCAGCGCCTGTGCTCGATCCATGCCGATCACAGCGACCAGATCCGGGACAAGCAGGCCGAGATCGCCAACTACTGGCAGAGCCTGACCGCCAAGGCCGGCGAGCGCAAGCAGAAGCTCGATGAATCCTACTACCTTCATCGCTTCCTGGCCGATTTCCGCGACCTGGTGTCCTGGATCAACGGCATGAAGGCGATCATTTCCGCCGATGAATTGGCTAAGGACGTGGCCGGTGCCGAGGCTCTGCTCGAGCGCCACCAGGAGCACAAGGGCGAGATCGATGCCAGGGAGGATAGCTTCAAGCTGACCACTGAATCTGGCCAGAAACTGTTGGAGCGAGAGCACTATGCCGCAGCAGAGATCCAGGAGAAGTTGGCCGCCTTGGAGAACGACAAGAGCTCGCTGCTGTCCTTGTGGGAGGATCGTCGCATTCTGTACGAGCAGTGCATGGATCTGCAACTCTTCTACCGCGACACTGAGCAGGCCGACACTTGGATGGCCAAACAGGAGGCCTTCCTGGCCAACGAAGACCTGGGCGATTCCCTGGACTCCGTGGAGGCTCTGATCAAGAAGCACGAGGACTTTGAGAAGAGTCTGGCTGCCCAGGAGGAGAAGATCAAGGCGCTTGACATCTTTGCCACCAAGCTGATCGATGGCCAGCATTACGCCGCCGACGATGTGGCCCAGCGTCGCCAGATGCTCCTCGCCCGTCGAGCAGCTCTCCAGGAGAAGTCATCCAAGCGCCGCCAGCTGCTGGAGGACTCCAACCGCTACCAGCAATTCGAACGGGACTGCGACGAGACCAAGGGATGGATTAGCGAGAAGCTGAAGTTCGCCACGGACGACAGCTACCTTGATCCCACCAACCTCAACGGCAAGATGCAGAAGCACCAGAACTTCGAGCACGAGCTGAACGCCAACAAGTCTCGCATCGAGGACATCACCAATGTGGGCACCGAGCTGATCGAGAAGCAGCACTATGCCGCCGACCAGATCAACACGCGCATGCAGGAGATTGTGGTGCTGTGGGAGACCCTCGTCCAGGCCTCGGACAAGAAGGGCACCAAGCTCAACGAGGCCTGCCAGCAGCAGCAGTTCAACAGGACGATCGAGGACATCGAGCTGTGGCTCAGCGAGATTGAGGGCCAGCTCCTGTCGGAGGACCATGGCAAGGACCTGACCTCTGTGCAGAATCTGCAGAAGAAGCACGCTCTCCTGGAGGCCGATGTGATGGCCCACCAGGACCGCATCGAGAGCATCAAGGTGGCTGCCAACAAGTTCATCGAGTCTGGCCACTTCGACGCCGACAACATCCGCAACAAGGAGGGCAATCTCTCGGCCCGGTATGCGGCTCTGGCCGCTCCCATGGGCGAGAGGAAGCAGCATCTCCTCGACTCCCTGCAGGTGCAGCAGCTCTTCCGCGACTTGGAGGACGAAGCCGCTTGGATCCGGGAGAAGGAGCCCATTGCAGCATCGACGAACCGCGGCCGTGACTTGATCGGCGTGCAGAACCTGATCAAGAAACACCAGGCTGTGCTGGCCGAGATCAACAACCACGAGGCCAGGCTCCTGAACGTCATCAGCTCGGGCGAGAACATGCTGAAGGATCAGCCTTTTGCCAGCGATGACATTCGCCAGCGCCTGGAGGCTCTGCAGGAGCAGTGGAACACCCTGAAGGACAAGTCCAACCAGCGCCAGCGGGATCTGGACGACTCCCTGCAGGCTCACCAGTATTTCGCTGACGCCAACGAGGCCGAGTCGTGGATGCGCGAGAAGGAGCCGATTGCTACTGGCAGCGACTACGGCAAGGATGAGGATTCTTCGGAGGCTCTACTCAAGAAGCACGAGGCTCTGGTCTCCGATCTGGAGGCCTTCGGCAACACCATCCAGGCGCTGCAGGAGCAGGCGCAGAACTGCCGCCAGCAGGAGACACCTGTGGTGGACATCACTGGCAAGGAGTGCGTGGTTGCCCTGTACGACTACACCGAGAAGTCCCCGCGAGAGGTCTCCATGAAGAAGGGCGATGTTCTCACTCTCTTGAACTCGAACAACAAGGACTGGTGGAAGGTGGAGGTCAACGATCGCCAGGGCTTCGTCCCGGCTGCCTACATCAAGAAGATCGAGGCCGGTCTGAGTGCCTCGCAGCAAAACCTGGTGGACAACCACTCGATTGCCAAGCGCCAGAACCAGATCAACTCCCAGTACGACAACTTGCTGGCCCTGGCTCGCGAGCGCCAGAACAAGCTGAACGAGACGGTGAAGGCCTACGTCCTGGTCCGCGAGGCTGCGGATTTGGCTCAGTGGATTCGGGACAAGGAGAACCACGCCCAGATCGCCGATGTCGTTGGCGAGGACCTCGAGGAGGTGGAGGTTCTGCAGAAGAAGTTCGACGACTTCAACGACGACCTGAAGGCTAACGAAGTGCGACTGGCCAACATGAACGAGATTGCCGTCCAGCTGACATCCCTGGGCCAGACCGAGGCCGCTCTGAAGATCCAGACCCAGATGCAGGACCTGAACGAGAAGTGGAACAACCTGCAGACCCTCACCGCCGAAAAGGCCAGCCAGCTGGGCTCTGCCCACGAGGTTCAGCGCTTCCACCGCGACATCGATGAGACCAAGGATTGGATTGCCGAGAAGGCAAATGCCCTGAACAACGACGATCTCGGCAAAGATCTGCGCAGTGTCCAGACCCTTCAGCGAAAGCACGAGGGTGTGGAGCGCGATCTGGCTGCCTTGCGCGACAAGATCCGCCAGCTGGACGAGACCGCCAACCGACTGATGCAGTCGCATCCGGACACCGCCGAGCAGACCTATGCCAAGCAGAAGGAGATCAACGAGATGTGGGACCAGATCATCACCAAGTCCACGGCCCGCAAGGAGAAGCTCCTGGACTCGTACGATCTACAACGCTTCCTCAGCGACTACCGCGATCTGCTGGCCTGGATTAACTCGATGATGAGTCTGGTCACTTCCGATGAGCTGGCCAACGATGTCACTGGAGCTGAGGCTCTGATCGAGCGTCATCAGGTAAGGATTTAAAGGGGAAGGGGTAAAGGGATTTTCGAGGATTATTCGAGGGGTTATTTGATTTATAATTAATTTTTAATTCGACTGAACTATTTTATTGTCTCTTTGGTTTTTGTTTTTGGTTGGTGTCATTCCACAAAACGAACAACAATCAATCGACAACAACGACATGCATCCATTTCCCTCATGGTTCTGTCTCTGCATTCCAACACTCAAATATTTACAAAACCAACTAAATATTTATAATATGAAACATGTGCGTCACAATCTCGCAGTCACACCGTGCTGAGATTGAATTTACCCTGGGCAGCAGTTCGGCTCCGGGAGCCACCGCCTCCTCGAACACCAGCATCGCATCTCCATCCGGCGACGAGGTATCCTTCGAACTTTCATTCGCAAATCATCCGAGTTCAGTGTTTCGTTGTTCTGTTTTGTGTTTTTGCGATCATTGTTTATCCTAATATTTGTTACAGGATTCTATGGAACTCCTTTTCTATCCTCCCATCATCAGTGTGAATACCCCTTCTCATGTACACATATCAGTCATTATGATTTGGCTTTCGCTTTTCCTAAAACACAAGTACACATCAGCGGATTCTTTATATTTTATCTAATCTAGAGTTACGAATATCGGGCCGTCACATCATTAACCCCCACACTTCTCAATGTCCACGATAAGGGAGCTTATGAAGTCAGGGTTTCTTAATTGTAACATAAACCACACACTTTTCACTCCAAAATATTCAAGAACCTCATACCATATCATGTATATCTTCAGTGGCCTTCACATCTCGCTATGTTTTATCCACCCAATAGTTCAGTTTAACGTTCCACGTTCTGTTTTTATGACTAATGCCAAGCTCCAAGCTGCAGCAACTGATCCTCGAAGGCCAGCAGCCAGTCGGCCAATCAGCCAATCAGCCAACCAGCAATGTTGTGCTAAC